GTAGAGAGAGAGGGAGAGGGAGAGAGGGAGGGAGAGAGAGGTCTAGGTCATCATAAAAAATAAATTCGAAAACGCTAATGAGTCCATGGCACCATGGACGCTCCCTGGACAAAAGAAAAAGGGGTCCTGGTCAATATAGACGCTTCCTGGACAATACTAACGAGTCCTGGTCAACACGGACGTGTCCTGGTCAACACGGACGTGTCCTGGTCAACACGGACGTGTCCTGGTCAACACGGACGTGTCCTGGTCAACACGGACGTGTCCTGGTCAACACGGACGTGTCGTGGTCAACACGGACGTGTCCTGGACCAAACTATAACGGGCCCAGGTCAACAATAACGAAGAAAACCTCCCCATATTGTCCCATTTTCTTTCTTCGAGCTGCCGGAGGGGCTTTAATGTAGCGAGAACTGCGCTAATTTCAGCGCACCTGGTACACGTTCAAACTCACATCCCTTCACACTAATATTCAGGTCCCCCAGGATGATCAACAAGCCTGTTAACGCTCGTACAGCTAGATAACTTCCTGCAAGTTGAACATGTACATGATTCTAAACTTTCCGCCAATTGGATGTGGGTTTGGGGGCATGATACGCAAATTAAATTACATGTAATTGGCTTACCACAGGTGTTCAGCGTAGAGATAGTTGGGGTCCGGCTGTTGAACCAATTATGCTATAAAGATCAACGGAAATTTGCATTGCAGTCTGTAACTAGCTTGTCAGCATTAACTTGTCCAGCTACATGGACTTTAGGGTTCCATGTAGCTGAACCATAAACCCCATTTTGGGTCACTGTAAACTTTTCCACAACCGCAAACATACACCCCCTGCATTTTGAAAATTGCAGGGGAGTTTGGGCAAAATATGACCAATCGCCGTTTTCAGTAATTGGCATATTTTCGGTATAAAAATTTGTATTTTGAAATGAAAATAGGTGCAGAATGTCAGAATTTGGCTAAAAAATTACGCTCAGGATTCAAAATTCCGATATTTCAGATATTTTGAAAACTGCAGGGGGGTTTGGGCAAAATATGACCCTTCGCCGTTTACAGTAATTGGCATATTTTTGGTATAAAAAGTCGTAATTTGAAATGAAAATAGGTGCAGAGAGTCAGAATTTGGCTCAAAATAAATTACGCTCAGGATTCAAAATTCCGACATTTCAGATATTTTGAAAATTGCAGTGGGGTTTGGGCAAAATATGACCACCCTGCAGTTCAAAATATCTGAAGTGTTGGAAATTTGACCCCTGAGAGTGATTTTGGAGCAGAATTAAGGCTCATTGCACATATATGGAGTTTAAAATTATGACTTTGGATATGTGTTCTAGTTCCACCTACTGTATAGGTATGGGGTCCACTATCGTCTACTGGATGGGTATTGGGTCCCCTTCCGCCTACTGGATGGGTATGGGATCCACTACCACCTACTGGATGGGTATGGGGTCCACTACCACCTACAGGATGGGTATGGGGTCCACTACCACCTACAGGATGGGTATGGGGTCCACTACCACCTGCTGGACAGTATGGGGTCCACTACCCCCTACAGGATGGGTATGGGGTCCACTACCACCTACAGGATGGGTATGGGGTTCACTACCACCTACAGGATGGGTATGGGGTCCACTACCACCTACAGGATGGGTATGGGGTCCACTACCTCCTACAGGATGGGTATGGGGTCCACTACCACCTACAGGATGGGTATGGGGTTCACTACCACCTACTGGACGAATATGGGGTCCACTACCCCCTACAGGATGGGTATGGGGTCCACTACCACCTACAGGATGGGTATGGGGTCCACTACCACCTACAGGATGGGTATGGGGTCCACTACCACCTACTGGACGAGTATGGGGTCCACTATCACCTACTGGACGAGTATGGGGTCTACTATCACCTACTGGACGAGTATGGAGTCCACTACCCCCTACAGGACGAGTATGGGGTCCACTACCACCTACAGGACGAGTATGGAGTCCACTACCCCCCTACAGGACGAGTATGGGGTCCACTACCCCCTACAGGACGAGTATGGGGTCCACTACCACCTACAGGACGAGTATGGAGTCCACTACCCCCTACAGGACGAGTATGGGGTCCACTACCACCTACAGGACGAGTATGGGGTCCACTACCACCCACAGGACGAGTATGGAGTCCACTACCACCTACAGGACGAGTATGGGGTCCACTACCACCTACAGGACGAGTATGGGGTCCACTACCACCTACAGGACGAGTATGGGGTCCACTACCACCTACTGGACGAGTATGGGGTCCACTACCACCTACAGGACGAGTATGGGGTCCACTACCACCTACAGGACGAGTATGGGGTCCACTACCACCTACAGGACGAGTATGGGGTCCACTATCACCTACTGGACGAGTATGGGGTCCACTACCACCTACTGGACGAGTATGGGGTCCACTACCACCTACAGGACGAGTATGGGGTCCACTATCACCTACTGGACGAGTATGGGGTCCACTACCACCTACAGGACGAGTATGGGGTCAACTACCACCTACAGGACGAGTATGGGGTCAACTACCACCTACAGGACGAGTATGGGGTCAACTACCACCTACTGGACGAGTATGGGGTCAACTACCACCTACAGGACGAGTATGGGGTCAACTACCACCTACAGGACGAGTATGGGGTCCACTACCCCCTACAGGACGAGTATGGGGTCAACTACCACCTACAGGACGAGTATGGGGTCCACTACCACCTACAGGACGAGTATGGGGTCCACTACCACCTACAGGACGAGTATGGGGTCAACTACCACCTACTGGACGAGTATGGGGTCCACTACCACCTACAGGACGAGTATGGGGTCAACTACAACTCTCGACAGCATCTACAAGAACAATAGCAGCAACAACAACAACAACAACAACAAAAACAGCTAACGTCAGTAAACATCGCAACAATTAAAACAAATAATTAACGTTGGTTGACTGTTCGTTACAGTGAACCAAATTTCAGCGGTGATAACGAGTTTCCCGCCCAAACATTCCAATTAGGAAGTGGTTATTTAATGCAGTAATTTGGCGGGAATAAAAGATTATTGTGACTGCCAAAGTGAACCAGGTTTAAT